CCCTGCCCCAGGACCAGGCTGCCTGGGACCCCTCTGCCAAGAAAGGCAGCCAAGAGGGAATCAATCTGCCTCTCACCTATTTTTTTTCCAGAGCCATGTGGGGGTTAATGCTCCTCTTTCCCAGTTGCAGAGTGACCCAGGTGGGGCTAATGAGTGCTTGCCTTGCTTAGCTAATTAGAGGCGCTGAGAGCAGCAGACTGCAGTTCTAAGGGTGGGGCACTTGCAGAGGGAATATGGTGTGTGTGGGGGGGGTTATTTCCAGCTTTTCTTTTTTGTCTTTTTTGGTCAAATAAAAACCTCTGGCAGCAGTAGCACAGCACAGATGGGAAAGAGCAATGAGATGAGGCTCTGTAGCACTCTTCTCACCCCTCCCTCTTCTAATCCGCATCATTCTGGGGTTTGAGGAGGAGGGGGCAGGAGCAAACAATTAGGAAGGCTGGACCATTTGTTCCCCTTCAAAAGCAGATTTTCAGTATCTGATCCAAATTAGCGTAGTCCTTGGGAGTCCAGCCTAAGTCTCCCCACTTCCACAACTCACCCCTTTTATGCCACCCATCACCTCTGCAGGATGTAGCAGAGCATGCCCTGGTGGCACCCGCAGTCTGGCTGGTGGCAGCCCTTGTAGAAGCCAGTCTCTGCCCAGAGGCACCTGTGAAGCTCACACTTTCCCCAAAAGTGGGACATTTATGGATCCCAAAGTTCTCTGCAGGCCTGCCTGCTTGACCTGAAAGCCTCGTGGCCAGGAAGGTTCTGAGGTGCAGGAGCACAGCGTAAGGGATGATGCTTGCCCTCATGGCTCGGCTTTGCTTGGCATGAAGGTCATGGCTGGAACTTCTAACCCTGCTCCCGGCCATCCCACGTGTGGCTGTGGGCTGGCCAGCACATGACAGCTCGAAGGGATCTGGATTTTATTACAACATCACCTCTATCATAACACACCCAAAGAAGGCTCTTCGCTGCTGACCGGGCTGTCCCACACTCACAGCCCTGACCTCAAAAAGTTGTGCTCCGAGCTCTCTTTTCCTTGCCCACTCAACCCTTTACATACAAATTATGGTCAAAAAGAAAGGTGCTGCTGAAAGGTGCTCGTTTTTCCTCTCTTGCAAGCTGCATTTCCCTTGCCTCTTTCCAGCTGCTGTTTAGTTCCCTTCATGTTGTTTTCCCCTGGCTTTTCCTTTGTTTCTTTCCAAGGGAAGCAGCGCATCATTACGGCTGGTCTTTCTCCAGAGCTCTCCTAGCCGAGGTCATTACTTAGCTTGCGAGATCCAACGAGGTTGCTGTTTGTGTGGCTGTGAGACCTCTGAAAAAGCAGCTAATCAATTCAGAAAATCATCTGGGTGGTAACCCCACTGTCAGCTTATTTTCTTCCCTTCCACTTAGACATCAAACTGGCTGAAGAGGGCTCTGGGGAATGAGGCAGGCACTGAGAGCTGCTCCTCTGCAGACACATCTGTGTCTTTCATCAGCAGGGCTCAGGGAATACCACCAACCCGAGAGGGGAAAATCTCTTTGGAGCTGAGAGGCTTGCGGTCTCCATCCCCTCGCTCTGAAGAGACCCTACCCAGTGGGGAAGCGATCGTTTGAAAAGTGGCTAATGCACTAACATTGTTTGGCAGAAACTGTCACATTATAGACAGAGCTGGGGGGAGGATGGGGACAGAAACACACAGCAAAGAGGGTGGCGTTAGGGTAGCCTCACATCAGTAAGCAGACCCGGGCTGCCAACGCTCCTGACGGCTAAGTGGAGTGGCAACTGGCAATAGCACATGCAAATGGTCTTCCATCAAATGAACTTACTAATTGTTGCACTTTGCTTTCAGCCGCTCTTCTTCTGGTTTGTGTCTTTGGGGACTACACCAGACAGTGCACAGCCAGAGCCGTAAAGCCTTTACCACTGCCAGGTTTAGTAATTAGAAGTATAGATGCTCGGTGCCTCGTACGCTGGGACTCGGTGGTGTCACGGCTCATTCAGAGAAGATAAGTCACATCTGAAAGGCATTCTCTGTCAGACCAGCCAGCCCTTTGAAGGGTGGGGGTGGATGCGTGTGCCTGTGTCCTACCCGTGGATTTGGCCAGCAGTCTGGAAAATGTCAAGGTTAGGAAAGGCTGAGCTTCATTTGCCTTTCACAGATCTGGGTAATGAATTTTTCATTTTAAAGTATTGTTCTAGCTTGAAAAGCGGGTCTGTAGCACTGGCATCATGGGGTTCCACATGTGTCTCTCAGTTGCTCCGGACCACATTTCCCCAATTTATAAAACAGGGATTTTTTTTTTTTTAATGCTTTGCAACTCTGCAAACTAAACAGGGGGCCTGAGGCTTTAGCGGGGTTTTCTTCTTCGTATGCCTTTATCAGCATGACATATTTTGCTCGCTAACCCTTGGTAGTAATACCCTACGTTGACATTGTTTTTGCAAGAAGACCACATGAAACCAAGGTGCAGGAAGGGGAAAAGCGTCAAGAACTTACTTTTGTCACTAGACGGAGTACTTCTAATTCTAAATGCAAATGGGAAGCAGAACCACACAGTAAAAACAAAGGCATTTTCCTCCCCAGCCAGAGTTGAGTCAAAGGCTTTTTTTTCCCCTCCTTTGTGGCTGCAGCTTGATAAAACTCCACAAAAGAATAAGCAGCTTGAAAAGATTCACTGGGAACTCATCTCCCTGTTCCATTGTGTGAAATCCAGGGATATTCAATTACATCAGAAACTGGATCAGGACAATTAAAGGCAGTATCTTTTCACACCATTCACTTCCTACCTGTGGAATTTGCTTCTGCTGCCTGCGATGGAGCCCAAGGGTCTTAGCAGGAGTCAGATAAGAGTTCAGCAGGTCTCAAACATTTTTACAGGCAATATTAAAAGTTACAATTAAAGAAACAAAAGCTTCTAGTCATGTAATCCCCGATTACCAAAGCTGGATTCAGCCTTCGCCTGTGGAGTTTGGGAAGGGTTCCATCAGTAGGGGTGTTTTCCTGCTCCTACCTACTGCAGTTTTTGTGTCCCTGCCGATGTTGTTGATCCCTGGCAAAAGCAGAGCACTAGGAGAGAAGAAGAGTTAGTTTGATCCAACACAAAATAGTTTCTCTATTTCTGCTTTAAATGTCAATTATCGAATATGTCTACTGCAATCCTGAACAGCCCTGAGGGCAGTGCAAGGTTAGAGGGATGGCTCGAGAGTGGTGCCAGCAGTGTCCTTACTCCAGAAGGGGCTTGTGGAAAGGTGCAAAAAATCCTTTGCCTTAAACAAATGCCTTGGGGCAATGAGCTCCATGGCTTAATTACCTGTTTGAGCGGGAAGCAAAAAACCAAACTTTTTATCAGTTTTACTTCTCAACTACCTGTTCAACTGGGAAGCAAACAGGTAAACTTTCTTTTTATCAGATTTATTTCTCCCAAAAGTTGGTTTCGCTGGCCATGCTGCAGCACTGGCATTTCCAAATGGGAAAGTTCCTAAATGTTTTTACTCTCTAGAAGTGTTTTACGGTTTTAAGCATCCCTGAAGGGTGCCCACATCACACCAGCAGTGTGCGTGTACCAACTGTAGACGCTGAAGGGCTGCTGGCAGCCAGACCACCATTCCCCTGTGCCACTGGCTGTAACGGAGACCGAGGACTTACCAGCATCCAAAAAAGGGACAAGCCTGGTGATGACTTGATCATATGAGAACAACCGGAGTTAAACCACCGTATCCACACATTTAGTGCTGTGCACACACACAACGGCCTGTGGCAAGTCACTGGCTGCCAAAGCGCAGCAGTGGATGAGTGATGGAGAAGAAGAGCAGCACCCTGGCCGTGGCAGGACCGCAGGGGGAAGCACCGTGGTCGCAGCCTGAGCAAACCCAACAACGGACGTGAGCACATGCTATGGGGCAGCTCCTAGCAGAAACTGCAGTAACTCTTCACCGTGAGCAGATTGTGACTCACCGAGAGCATCCCCAACAGCAGATGAAAGACCAAGGCGTCCCGTTTAGTCCCCCCTGCCTTTACTCCTGCCCATTGCTGCCCTTCCTGCCTGGCGAGGAGGCACACGTGAGGCTGACTTGCCCACCCTACCTCAGCTGGTCGTATTTAGAGTTTCTTCCCCAGGTTGCCCACTCATTTCCCTCCTGCTGCAATCAGCTTGATCAGTCCCACCGTGGGGGCCAGACCCCCATGGGAGGAGGGTGCAGCCAAAGGGGGCAGAGCCCTGAGCAGCCCCAGGGTGGGATTTGGAGGAGGGGGAGGATTGGAGGTGGGGAGCAGGTGGCGCGGTGCTGAGCTGCTCAGCTGTTGTGGGGCTGGAGAGAGACGGCCGCAGCTGGGCGAGGGAAGGGAAGAGCTGAAGGCCTGGCAGGATTTCTGCTTTACAGGTCGGGTAGCCGGCGCAGGAGCAGCGGGGAGGGAATCCAGCTGGGATGGGGGGCCCTGGGTGCTTACACCCCGTGAGGAGCTGTGCTATGGAGTACCACCCTTGCAGGGGTGCGAGGTGCAGGCACGGGGACCACGATGGCTTCACCCCGAGGCCGGCCCTGCTTTGTGCCCGGGCGAGAACCCTGGCAGCAGCCCCCTGCTGCGTGCCAGCAGGGGCCTTGGCAGCCCTCTCTGGGGCATACATTTATATCTGCTCATGCAAATAACCTGGAAGTGTCCCCCGGAGTGGGACAGCTGGTCCCCGGCAGCGTTTTTGGGAGCATTCTTTATGTGCCCATCTAAGTGCCCTGGCAATCTCTTTTGGGGCTCGCCAGCAGGGGCCCTGGCAGAGGCCAGGAGGCAGCGTCGCGGTGGCTGAAGCCATGCCAGCTGAAGCTTTCCAACAGCAAAGCTTTCTTCTGCCCCCAAACAAAGAGCCAATGTGGCTTAGCATCATTGATCTCTTTCGTGCCTTGCCGCTTTTAACGCGGCAGGAAAAGACCGAGAGGAGTTTTAATTGGCCCAAATGGTTTTAGACTAGGTTAATACAACTCATCGATAAACGCCACTTTTTATTATGTTTTAATTACAATGTCATTTCAACAGGCTGGACGTGCCCTGCCTCCTCAGAGTAGCCGGTGGGGTTTGTTGTTTAAGGTGTGCTTCCTTGAGCTTCAGTGATTAATTTCCATTGCAGACCTGGGAACTGACAGGCTGCTGGAGAGCCCGACTGTCTCAGCAAATTCCCCTTGGCCCAGGCCCCGTGCTGGCAATTACAGCTTTACATCAGTCCTGCCATCGGCGATGCACGCTGGGCTGGGACTGCGGCAGGAGGAGGTGGGCTGGCCGTCTCAGAGAGGTTAAGATGTCCACACATTAAATGCAGTCGTTGGATCTTCTTTCTTCACGCTGATGGGGATTGTCCCTTCCAACAAGCTGCAGCCTGGCTGTGTCTCAGTGCCTGTGGCACAGCCCTCCATGTGTTTTATTAGGCTTGGTCTCTCGTTGCAGTAGAACCTCACCAGGGCAGAAGCTTGGATGCAGAGTTTAGACCAAAATCTTTGAACCTAGTACCCTGCTGTCCCTCCTGCATCCCTACCTTGACACATCTTCTCCTTGGTCCAGAAAGGGTGCTGGTGGCTGCTAGCCCCTTCTTCTCTTCAGGGACTGGGGAGGATGGCACAAATGCTGAGCATTTAATCTTTCCTGTGTTCTGCCAGCAGTGGATTTTGAACACCCCAAAGAGATGCAGGTAGGATCTGGTTCTGGTCCAACTCACAATGGGGTAAATAAACAGAAACTACCAGAATCACAGAATCGCCTAGGTTGAAAAGGGACTTGTAAGATCATCTAGTCCAACCATCAAACTAACTCTGACAAAAAAAACAAAACCAAACCAAAACAAAAACCCACTAAACCATATTCCCGAGCACCATGTCAACTCCTCTTTTGAATATCTCCAGGGATGGTGCCTCAACCACTTCCCCGGGCAGCCCATTCCAATGCTTGATAACGCTTTCAGTAAAGAAATTTTTCCTAATATCCACTGTTTTTCCTAATATTCACTGGAGTCACTCAGAAGTTCAGCTTGGTTTATAGTTCTGCCTGTCCAGAGTGAAGTTGTGAACACTGCTTTAGCGTAGGAAGGTGTGTGTCTCCACCTATTAATGTTGAGGCAGAGTTCCCTGCTATGCACTGCACTGCTTTGTGTCCTCACCACTGTTTCAAATCTTTGCTGAAACATAGGTATTTTTATGCAGTTGGAAATGTCTCTATTTGTTCCTTTTTTTTTTTTTTTTTTTTTTACAGCAGCTTTCCACATCCTTTCCATAAGAGCAACATCTTTATAAGGCTGGAGAACTTCACTGCTGCAGAAGGCACAGGGGCAACAAACCACTGCTTGACTGTAAGGACACAAACCATCCCTTCCTCCACTGCCCTGTGCCTTCCCAAAAAAGCCGAGGAAGTGGCATTATCTCTGCAAAGGGGTGCCTTACACAGATGGGCAGGGAAAGTAGACCTCAAAGTCATAGAGAACTCATAGAGATGGAAAAGAAATGGCAGCCAGCCCTACATGGCATTTGCTGTCAGACCAAAAGCAAGAGGGTAAAAAAGTCAGAAGCAAGATCCGGTGAAACCAGAGCACACAGGTACTACTGCACTATTTGCCACGGGTTGTATTAGGGCACGGTTTGGTTGTGTTCAAGGAAGCTGACAGGGCTAGAGTGTTGTACCAACCCCAGATATAACACAGGCTCGTCCCAGCTGGGCAGAGAGCTGCTTGGGATAGAGGTGGGGGGTGTCTTGTAAAGGTCTTTTCCTTTAAAATGCCCGCTGCTGTTACCATGGGCATTCGTGGAGGTGTGGAGCTTGAACCTGGGGATTGGCAGCAGATGACATTAATCCCTGGCATCTGTACCTGTCTCGAGAAGGCTTACACAGCATGGTAGCCAGTGTCAGGGCCCTGGGGGTTTGGCTCCCTGGGCTCAAAGCTGGCTTAGACAATCGTGCAGGTGTCCATGCAGCGCTTCTCTCCAAGAAAGCTCTCCTAACCAGCCTCAGGGAAGGCCTGGTCTGCTGCTAATCACTTGTAAACTGAGGCTCCTTCACCTGGTCTCCACCTGGGCTCCCTTGCAGCTGTGTTGCAGCCATACCTGTGCCATCTACCTTGTTTATGTGGAACTTGGCCTGTGGATTCAATCCCTGATTTGACCTCGGATCTGTCTCATCATCATGGATTTGCCCGCCAATCGCTGGACTCTTGGCTGAACCTGGTTACCATCACCAGACCTTCTCTGCAAATCTTGTTTAGGTATCATGGGACTGTGCCTTTGCCACTGCCCTGTGCCTGCCTTGCTGTCACCCCAGCTCCAGTCTCACCTTCCACCATGGAGCCCTTCCTCACAGCTGACATGTTGATCGATGCCTTCATCCATGACGTTGCTTCTGATCCTGCCTTGGCTGTCAACGACGGAGTGAAACCACAATGGGAAATAGAGTTGTCCGTCTGCAGAGGACATTATTGATCAGGCAGAACATAAAGGAAGCAGCTCTCACATATTATAATGCAAAGCAGCGATGGTCAGCATTCCTGCACGTAGGTGCCACATACCAGAACCTTAATGTGTGCTGGAGCCATGAGGGCTGTCTCTCAAACTGAAGAAGGCCATGGGAACAGGGAATTTTAGGCAGATGGTGACAATGGCTCCCCGGGGCTCCTGATGTGCCACTCTAGAGGAGGCGATGCTAAATGCGGAGAGTGATCCCAGGGTAAGGCAGAGGGGCTGGTCCCTGCAGCCATGCTGATGATCCAGGTTACACAGTGGACCTCTTAGCAGCACATTCCCTGTCCTGTCACACAGGAGCCATTCTCAGAGCTGACAGGGAAGTTCAAGAGCCAAGGCTTGTTCACCAGTCATTGAAAGAAGGTGGGCTTGAGCTGTCCGTTCCCAGGGTGGGCTGAGAAGTGGTTGTACCCCCATGACTGCCAAAAGACACTAACTGTTTGGCTTGAAGATCCTACAAGCCATATTCTTTGAAGCCTCTGCATGGAATCATAGAATCATCTAGGTTGGAAGAGACCTTCAAGATCATCTAGTCCAACCATCAACCTAACTCTGACAAAAATCATCACTAAACCAAATTCCCCAAGCACCATGTCAACTCGTCTTTTGAACACCTCCAGGGATGGTGCCTCAACCACCTCCCTAGGCAGCCCAATGCTTGATAACCTTTTCAGTGTAAAAATTTTTCCTACTATCCAACCTGAACCTCCCCTGGTGCAACTTGAGGCCGTTTCCTCTCGTCCTGTCACCTGTGACTTGGGAGAAGAGACCGACCCCCACCTCTCTACACCCTCCTTTCAGGGAGTTGTAGAGAGAGATAAGGTCTCCTCTCAGCCTCATTTTCTCCAGGCTGAGCACCCCCAGCTCCCTCAGCCTCTCCTCATAAGACTTGTGCTCCAGACCCCTCACCATCTTCATTGCCCTTCTCTGGACCTGTTTCAACACCTCAATGTCTTTAGGGAAAGAGGATCTCTTGGGGCAACGCAGTGATCTAGGCAAAGGTAAGATTGCACCTATCACTGCTTGCAGGACAGGGCTAGGAGGTGCCAGGAAAGGAGAGGCAAAGCGCTATGGGCTGCGCTGAAAGGCTTCTGAAGAACAGGATGGACAAGTCTAGGCACGCCAGAAACGCCCTGAGGTTTTACTGTAATGATCCCAAGTGGCTGGGCTCTGCCGCTGAGTGTGTACCCTGGGCAGGCGACTGTTGTTGTGATGAGCACCCTTCCCCTTGCTTCAAGCTCTCGTTGCTCAGGTGCTGCTACAGTTGGTAGCAATACAAATCCCCAGGGAGTGCAACCCTGCCCCAGAAGCTGGGAAATGCTTGGGGGGAGTGATGTCTTGCTGGCAGCACCGCTAGTGCTAACTGGCTTGAGGCCATCTTCTGCATTTGCGGTGATGGTGTGTGGAGGCACCTGTAAAGGGAACAAGGCAGAAGCCTTGTTTTGACATCTCAAGGCTTTAATAAAAGTTTGGAGGTTTGCCTAGGCAGGAGGAAGCTTGGCTACAAGACAGACACTTCTGGGGAGAGGAGTCAGGTTATAACTCAAAATGCTCCCCACTGCTGCTAATTTTGCAGTATAGACCTAATCTAAATGCCGGCTTGCTTGCCTTGTGTACAGGAGGAAAAGGAATTGTACACAGTGGGGTGACTTCTGAGCAACTAGAGGTTGGTTGTAGCTGCTGGTGTGCTCCCCTGCCTTTTCTATCCTCTCTCCCAAAGCATTTCTGGAGTCTTCAAGTGCATGACAGAGCCATACCTTTGGGATGCAGTGTGGCATATGTGTCTTCTCATGGGATTTCTATGACAGCCCAGGGTGAGAGAGAGAGAAATAAAGACACCATGGTGCTGTGCCACTGCCAGCCCTCATACTTCTTACTGATCAGGCTTGAAGTCTATGTGATGGTGGAGCCACCTGGGTGATGCAGAGGAACGGAGAGCCGGTGAGAGGAGATGGTTGACATGTAGAGACACAGGGTGTTCTTGGCAGAGGTCATGGGGATGCCCACAGCTGCAGAGCGACCTGGGATGAACTCTGATCCTCTGTTTCAAGACATGATGGACTCCTGGGGCAGAGATGGGAGCATTAGGAGTCTAGACAGAGTTGTGGTTTGCTTTAGATCCTGGTTGGAGAAGGCAGGTGGGTGGGGCAGGACTCAGGGAGTAAGGAGGATGTTTAGATGGAATATAGCTCTTAGGAACAGATATTTTGCCCTGCTTATTATACTAGGGCCAACCCCCTCAAAACCATGCTGATCCATTGGAGCCACTGATGATGGATAGACACCACAGGGCAGGTAGGAAACCTGATGTGACTAATGGAAAAAGCAAGAAAACACTTCTCACAGTGGCACTCAGCTTCTTTCCTCCCTAAAGTCATTCCCTAGAGAGAGTGAGTCAGGTAGTCTTGCTAATACAGGGTGTTCTGGTTGCCTAGTTTGCTTTCAGTTTTGCCCCTAGCAGGTAGGCAAGGGAGAAAATACAAATAATAAACTCAAGACTCTGCTAATATTCTCTGGGAGCCTTCTCACAGAAACCTCAGAGACAGCTTGGGACCTGCCCTGGATGGCGCCCAGCCTTTTTCCTGAATACCCAGGGCTCTCAGCTCCTGCCCTGGTAGCCCTTGGCAGCCTGCTGTCTGCTCCCATAGCCACAGGGGGCTAATACACGCTGCCCTGCTTTGTTTTGTCCTTCCACCTTCCCAGCCCTCCGCTGTGGGGTGACAGCAGTGGGGAACAACCCTGGGGGGGTCAGGTTTTGAAGGAAACCATGCCGTTTGACTTATTTATCTGCAAACTCAGCTCAGCGACAGCCCGGCGTGCATGCAGGCTGCTGCTGGAGAGTGCTGCCAGCTCCACTTGTGAGAGGGCAAGCAGCGAGGAAGCTCTTGGGCTCCCGGAGCTACCAGCCCTGCTCCTGTGAGCAAGACGGATTTGAATTTCTGCAGGTGTGCTGGGAATCGCCCAAAGCACCTCGTCTCGGTCACTGGTCAGAGGAATTCATGGCTATTATATCTGGGAGGCAGGCAATGATTACCAATCAGTGACCCCACTCCCAGAGTGATTCATCGTTTGCCTGGGAGTTGAGCTCTTTCCCTGGCTCTCCCAGCTCCAGTTCTTGGAGCATCTCGAGTGTCTTACTGGTTTTAAATCATGGTGTAGCCATGGATGTAGCTGAGGAGGAGCGGAAGGAGAGAGGGATGGAGGCACCAAAGGGGAGGGAGCGTTTCTGACCTTGAGGGTGAGCAGAACTTGGCTGTAGGCTGGGGAGCAACGCTGCCAACGTGACCCACACCAACCCGGCATCCTCTCCGCTGCAGGGCTCCCACTGACCTCCTTGCTTGGCTGGTAAATGGACCATATTTTTGCCTGGCTGGGCACAAAGTGGTGGTGGGGAAATGGGGGAAAAAAAAAAAAACCACCACCCAACCAACCTGTGGCCAGCCAAACCAAAGCAGAGGTTATTTAGCAGGCCAGGGGGGAGGTTTTAATAATCCCAAACACCCTGGGCCAGTCTATTCTTAATGATAATTGATAGCACTTAACATTTTTACATGTTCTAAGCATTTCACAGGCATTAACTGGGGGCTGGGACAGCTTTGCAGCAGGGAAGAGACTGGGGTCTTTCTCAGGCTTAGGAGAGACATAGGAATTCCAGGAATAGGCTTTCCACAGTCTGCCCTCATTTGCTGCTACATCTGCTCAGGTACTGCCAGCCCCTTGTTCAACCTCAGAGTTTTCCACTCAAAATAAGAGTATGTCCTTTATGTGGACTTGCTTTAAAACCACAATTACCTAGCTGCTGGCCCAGGAAGCACTATTCTATGTCTATTGAATGAAATTACTATGAAATATGTCTATTTCACCAACAGATACAGCGAATAATCATCACTGTCAGGGCAGCGAGGTAGGGAATTGGTCCCATTTCACAAATGAGGCAGCTGGCACAGAAAGGACAGCTCACTGGTGTTGCTGGGAAAGCATTTCTCGGCTCCAACCTTCTCTTCCTGGCCTTAAGGTGATATTTCCACAGCTGGCTCAGCGGGGCTAGGAAGCTAAAAAAGCACCCTGACCCTCTGTGCTATCAGAAACGCTCCTTGGTTTGGATTTGGTTTATGGGTTGCACCACACAGGAAACAGCCGGGTCTGCACCACCCCTAGGTCCACCCTCTGCTGGGTTTGTCATCACTGGAGCTTCTGCTATCATCTACATGCTCTGCAGGGCTTTAATCTGGGGCTGGGGTGTGCAGGGGCACACAGCAAGCTGATCCTCCGGGCAGAGGGTGCAGCAGGAAGCCGGGCTTTGTAGGATGTTGTAAGGCACTGCTGAGCTGAAAGATGAAGTGAAAAATGCACGTCTGCAATCCTGCTGCTGCCTCTGCGGTCCTCTCCTCCTTCCTGCACCCCGCTGCTGGCCATGGTGTCTGTGCTCCCCTTTGCACCACTGCTGCAAGGCTCTGAACACTGAGAGCAGACACCCAGCTATGGTGGTAACAGGGAAGATGCAAGAGGGAGAGGTGGGGAAACGTGCTGCAGGAGATGGTTGTCACCTCTCCAAGAAGCTCAGAATGTTTGAAAAAAAAAAACAAAAAAAAAAAAACAAAACAAACAACCACAAACCCCAAACCAACCCAAAACTGCTTCACACGCAGAACTGAAACTGAACCAAGGGGAATTCACTGTGCGCACAGTAAGTGGTGGCCACCAGCTATTTAAAGCTTCACATGCATCTGATGTGCAGCTGGGCATAAAGAAAGGGTGTGCCTGCAGCTTGCACAGACAGACCCACGACAGCTTGAAAACAGGGCTTTTGAATGCTGCAGCAGCCAAGAGGTCAGCACAGGCTAGAAACCACCCAAGAAAACAGGGAATAACTGGAGCATTTGATGAAGGAGCAGGGCATGACTTGTGCCCCTGTCAGCAGCAGCTAAACAGCAAAGCCGGGGGGTTAGAATTATTTCAGGAGCCAGTCAAGGCTGGACAGGAACTGCACTAGTGGTCTCATGGACAGACACACAGAGCTATTACACAGCCTCCAGATAGGCTACCCACTTCTCAGCAAGAATTCAAACTAGCCAGGAGATGCATTGGCATGGAATCATAGAATGGTTAGAGTTGGAAAGGACCTTAAAGATGATGGTGTTTCAACCCCCCTGCCATGGAGAGGGACACCTCCCACTAGATCAGGTTGCTCAAAGCCCCATCTAGCCTAGTTTTGAACATTTCCAGGGATGGGCCACCTGCAACTTCTCTGGAAGTTGATGGATGCCTATAACATCATGGAAAAGATGCCTATAACATTTCTTGTTGTTCCTTTATCCAGAGCAAGTCTTCCTACACCATGCCTTGGTTCCCAGGGAGGTCTGAAGCCAACGGTATCAATGCCTGCAGGCACTAGAGAAATCCAGGTCCTCCAGTAAACAAGGTTCCTGGCTGCTGGTAACCCTTGCTTGGGTTGTCCTTGTTCTCCTTCCTTCCACCCTCCATGTCCAGACAGATCCTGCCTAAAATCAGCTGCGGTCTTACCTCACCAGTGCTGGCCCCCCATGATTTTTGTTTTGAGGGCACGGACCACATTCTAATAGAGAGCAAAGCATCTCAAACACCTCCTTATTTCCCAACACAACCCTTGCAACATCTGTACAACAGTCTTCTGGCAATGGCTGTGATTGCTTACGTATAAAAGTCCCATTAAAGAAGTGTTTTAGCACTGGACTTTGGGGTTGTTTTTCAAACTTGATTTGACAGGATGAACAAGCACTGCAAATCTCAGAGGCCTTCTGGCAGCCATTTCCAAGACCCCCGCCTGGCTCTGAGCTGCTATCTGAGGTCCTTCACACAGCATTTTAACCCCTCTCAACGCACCTCCCTGGGAACCTGTCTCCCCATTCCTCACCGCAGAGATGGTTTGCTATCTGCCTCGCCTGAATTTGGTTTTATGGTCCTAACACCAGGCTTTACTACCCTGAGATAATTAGAGCAATTCCCTGCCTTTGCTTATATTGTTCCCTTGAAGGTATTTGTAGGTGGAACGCTTGTCCCCACTGAACCATCCCCTTTCCCACTCCACGCATTTCCCTCTGCGGTCCCTCCCTGTAACTCTCATCCTTGGGTTGCTTTCATCAAGTAATAGTTGCTGCAGAGCACAGAAGGGTCATCTTTCCACTCCTCTGATCTCCCTTTGGGGACATCTTCCCTTCGGGAACAGAAGCATCTCGAAACTCAAGAAAAAACCTGTTCTGCTGAGGACCAGGCAAAGGACCCTCTGGACACACTGCCCTGACTGGGGCTCAGAGAGCATCGGCAAACCCTGGCTCACCCCTGTGTGGATGCTGGGACTGATCTTGGTGACAGCAAAGGGTGAAGGGACCAAGAGAAGAAGCAAAGCTGGCAGTTGTCCAGCTGGGATATTCAGAGGGGGCCTGTCCACCCTGCCTTCAATCTGTTGCAGTGGTGCCAGCTAATGAAATTTAACATATTATTGGCCAGATTCTACTTTTCTCTGCCTTAAAAACCATCCTTGTGACTGCTATGGGTTGTTTTCAATAGCTGTTAGCTCACAGGATCTTTCTCTTTTTTTATTAAAAAAATTAAAATAGTTAAAATGTTGATTAAATTAAACCAAGTGGACTTTGTTCTCCACTGGAAGCTGTTTATATAACATCTGCTTTAAATAACTTTAAAACTCAGTCCATTCAACCATGCAAAATAAAATGGTGAAATCACAATATTTGTTGTGATTTAAAATAATAATAAAAAAAGAAATCAGCTCTACTCACCTCCACCTGGATTTAGAGCCCAGGAACGAGTTTAGCCCTATGTGGCCAACACAGCCCGGGTACAGCCAGTTAGGTTGGTGCCTGCCTGGTTGGCACAGCTGGCAAAGACTGGGAAAAAATAATTTAAAAATAGTTTACAAATGACTGTCGTTGGATAAAAGAAAGAAAAGAAATCTATGAGTAAGTAGAGTTTGCAGTGTTGTTGGCATTAAATGCACGGGGTTCTACATCAGATTAAATACCCAAGCTCACCTGCATTCCTGGGACAGCCTGAGTGGGGCTTAAGAAGTGGGAACACACGCTTAAAGCGTTTCTTCCAGGGTATTTAAAAGCTGCCTGTGTGCATCAGGGTGTGCTGGAAGGCTGCACAGACAAGTCCCTGGCCGCCTCATGGGCAGGCAATGACGGGTTAAAGAGTCCACCTCTATTCTTTTTGGGAGCTGGAGGGGTTCCTGTAGGTGATCCCACTGTTTTGACACACCCCCCCACAACTGGGTTCCCAGCTCAGCTTGCCCGGGTGCCCGTGTCCCGTTTTCTCATAACCTCCCCTGCTGCCTCCTCCTCCTCTTTATATATTCATGAAGCGGTAGGGCCGGGGATAAATAAAAGCTGAACAAGCCGGAGCGACAGCACAGGAAGAGGAACTGTCTGCGCCGGCAAGAGCCTCGCTCCGCCAACGCCGGGACGGATCCCGACCCTTTTTATCTTTGCTGGGACGAGTGCCGGCTCGCAGGAGGGAAGACTGTTCCCCGCTCTCTGGGGCGGCAGCTGGATGAGCTCTGGATGCGAGGAGGAGGAAAGTTAACAGTAAGTGAGTCAGTCTCACCAGGGATAAGATAGCGCCTTCCAGGATGTTTCTCTCGCTAAGTTCAGAGCCAGGCCTGACACCAGGCTGTGTCTAAACCCTTCCAACCCCCTTCCTTCCCAGCAGATTACTCCCCCAGCTCATCTTCAGCTCCCTGGACCCACAGATGGGGCAGAGGCTGAGGGGCTGGAGGCACCACGGGTGGAGGAGAGGCTTGGAAGCAGAAAACACGTGCTCAAACAGGGACTTACTAAGTAATTCACAGGGGACTGTTTCAAAATGTTCAGCCTTTCTCCAGCCTGCTTTGGTCTGGAGAGACTGGTGTGGAGGGTCACTAAATCCCAGTGTTGGAGGATTATATTGCAGCTGTGCTTTTTTTGGGAAGGGCAGAGTTCTCCGAGTTCACATGAGCCTGTCTCCTCTGATCTCTTACTACTCCCATGGTCTCCCTTCCGTCCTCTTTCTTCTGGAATTGCAAGGAAGGGACACACCTCTGTCACTGCGGGGGAAGCCAGGGGTTTTCTGCCCATAAATTAACCCCTCTGATAGCTGGAATATACTACAGCAACAAGATCTTGACTGTAAGGAATCAGGGTCTGATTAGCTCAAGTAAAAACCAAAAGCACCTAAAGTTGTGACATCTCCTTGCTTCTCTCCCCAGGATGCTGGCAGCACAGGTGGCACCTTGTCCCCAGCACCCCTTATTCTGGGGGGGCTCCATCCCAGCTTGCAAACCAGAGTCCTGATCTCAGCACTCCCCCCGTTCCAGGGTGAGACCTTTGCCAGACTGCAGGTCCATGCGATGTGCTGCCAGCCTGACCTGGGGAGCAACATCTCCTCTCCACCCTCCCCACAGTCTGGCTGTGGGCAGATAGCATCACGGGGAGCATGGGAATGTCTACTCCTAAATACAGGGGACACAGCTATCAGATGCTGCCCCAGTACTGAACACCCAATTAACCCACTACTTCTGCAGGATGGGACAGCAGTTTAATGTCCCAATGGGTCGTTGCTAAGATGTCACCTTCTGACCTGTGCTAGTGCTCTGATTTTCTCTTATTCCCCCTCAGGTGCAGCAGTAAGATGAAGCCTCCATCCAGCCTAGGCATCAGCCTGGCATACCTTCTCCTGAATTTGGCTTCCCTCTGCCTTCCCACCCCAATCTGGAAGGACCGGGACTCCCTAATGCAGGAGGAGAAAGCCCATCAGACAGGTGGCAACTTGGTGCTGAGTAGGCAGGAAGAGCAGCTCAGTACAAAACTCGTAGACCTCAAGAAGGAGGAGGTGGCAACGGCCATGGCTACGGGGCAGTTTCCTCCAAGTATGCACTTCTTTCGGGCAAAAGGCCTCATCGACCAAAGCACGGTGTTCAGCATCCTAAAGCGCATGCCAAAAGGTAGGCCTGGCCTACGGGTTGCTTCTCTTAGTCATCCTCCTCTCGCCTTCTGCTTTCCATGCCAGAGCGAGGACAGAGCCTGAGGAGACATGGCAGACCTTTGCTTGCAGGCAAGCTTGTGAGAGCTGTAAATCAAGCTCTCTCCGGGTTCCAGGAAGAGCCCTGCCTCTGGAGCCTGGGGACAGGGCAGGGGGAGAGAGGAAGAGGGGGATGGATTGGATGAATGCACATTTCCAGCAATTGTAGCATTCGCTATAACTTACAATATGGATCCTTCAGCCTTTCAAGCGTGGAGAAAGGGCAAGGGAAGCAATGACAACAAGACATCAGACAGTCGTATTTGTTCCGCATACTCCAGCCAGGGCCTTTCCTTTTTCCACACACACCACAGACGTGCTACCAACCTTGCCTTAACCCACTTCTTAGCCAGAAGTGCTACATTGCCCAATGAGTTTTTTTTACACAGGTGGTTCTGTAGCAGGCCTGGAAGTCTACTACAAAGCCTAGGGGCACTAAAGGAGGAAGGTGCTATCTCCAAACACAACACATTTTTAAATTGTTGAACGGAAGCCGAAGCCTGTGCTCACGTGACCTGCAGAATAATATATAGAAACTATTGTATTCTCTCACTTATTCTTTTTTAAATCATATTCTACTCTGTGCACTTCTAGGAGATCCCAGCTTATGAGGGCAGGCATTTCTCCTCTTGTCTTTAGTTCAAGAGATGTTGTTTCTCCCCTTCTGTGCAGCAAGGTATGTGCTAATGGGCTGCCATGCCCCATGCCAAAAGGGGCTTCTGCACTCTGCAGCACATACATAATTTTTAAGGCATCTGGAACATTCCAAGTTAGATGATGGCATGAGATTGTCCGATACCTTTGCTGTATCACCCTGTGCACCCACTGACAAGCAGCGTTTGAAAGCTCAGCGCTCCAGGTTGTGATGGAAAGGAAGAGAGGATATTTTTAACCAAGTGGAAATCCAAGCCACCTAGGCTGTGTAGCAGGAAGCCTGGTGTCTCTATGTCCCTGAGCCACTGACAGTTCAGCAGAGAAGCAGGAGGTTGAGATGATCAAAGGAGGAAGGCCTTGACTCCTAACTGACCAGCTTCTCTCTCTACATCCCTGGTTCAGTAAGGAAGCTTTTGAACAAGGTGGCTTCTTTAGTTTAAGCTATGAAACTGCCAATATCCCCATGACTCCGAATTCTACGTCCACTGTTCCAGGTGCTCCTTCTTTAGATGCAGATTCCCATGGCCTTGCCCACATGGCTGCCTCGAAACAGGCTGGTGGCCTGCTGTAGAAGATTTGGGGGGGTCAGCTTCTCCACAGGAGCATTTTTCACGTGCAGGGCTGTGAAACTGGCACAGGGATAAGAGCTGTCTTCCTCACTTCCCAGCTTCTCCCTCCCAGCCTCTAGATGTGAAACAAGGATCCCTGGTTTGCAGCATCCTAATCTGTTACCATAAATGATTGAGATGTCAGAGTTGCCATTACCCTTTCATTGCTGAACGGAACAGTAAGGAATTTTAAAGTTCCTCCCTCTTAAATGGGGTATCTTTGATACCAAGGAGGAATCAAAACAAAAGATTAACTTTTCAATCCAGGCAATGCTAAAATGGGTTCTTAGAATCTTTGCAAGAGCTGTAAGCTTTTAGGGCCAAGATCACATGATTGCAACTGCTTAAGTAGGACCTAGTCTTAGAGGTGCAGATTAGAGCCCTGGGGGAACTACTGCTGTTTCAAGCACTGCAGTAATTTCTATTACTGCTCACGTAGGGAAGAGGGTGGCACTGCCAGTGAGAGAAGGGTCAAGATCTAGACAGCTGTGGCATGCCCATTCCATCATGCTAGCTCTGGTGACAGCAGTAACCACAGTTGTTCAGCATCTTAACAGTCAGACTCTGTAGTGAGAGATTATAGACTTTACAGTCTATATTAGATTAATCCACTATAGGTTATAATCTTGTAGTTTGTCTAATGTCACACAAATACCTATCTTTTGTTTGTTTTTTTTCCTCCTACTCATGCTCTCCCTTTACCCCTATGGGCACCAAAGTTATTTTGGCTATGAGGTCTCCTCTAGGCTAATAAAATACATACATTTAAGACTTTAGCTCTCACAGTATCTTCCTTTAACAAAAGCAAAGTTTAGTTCAAGCACCAATAATGGAAGAAGTCTCTGCAAAAGGAGAGGTTTTTAGCAAAATGAAAGGATGGGCTGAGGAAGACGAGCACTCAGAGGATACTTTCTATGCCAGGAAGACTGGCAGTTGCCAACACACTGCACAATAACAGAGCATCCCAAAGGCCCTTTGTCCTGGGCAGCAGCAGATGCAGAACGTCAGCGAGCATGCTTTTGATAAGGGGTAGAAGTAGCTGGTACTTCTGCATCCGAGTGCAATTCCCCGGCATGTCATGGCCTGGGATTTTGGTGTGCGCCAGAGTTTCAAAGAGATGAAAGAGGAGACACAGGCTAGATGCAGAAACTGAGGCTGGGATTCAAACGGCTTAGACACAGAGGCTTGCTTCAGGTCTGCCAGCCAGCTAGGATGCCTTGTAAACTGCTGCCTACTGTGCGAGTTCCTCTTTAAATCAGTGGGGCCCGAGCCAGCTCACAGCCAAGTCTGTCTGAAAGACCTTTAATAACTCGGAGCATTTTCCATCCCAGTGGAGAAGTAGAGCTCCCTATTGATTTCCCCCCTCCCTCTGCTCCCGGGGAACTGTCACGCTCTGCCTGCCCCGCATTTGATGTGGAGGGGGCCACATCCCCCAGCATTGGGGGAGGCAGAGCAGCCGCTCCATCTCTCTGCTGGGAGAGGTCACTCGCAGCTACCTAGAAGCTTTTCCAGATGCCCCTGGATGGGCCAACTCAAACTATTATCACATTAAAACTCCCTTCCTGCTTTTCAGCTGCCTTGTCTCATTAGGATATGCTTCTCTTCCCACCAGGTGCTGTCTTACACCTGCATGACTATGCCATCCTGAGCGTGGACTGGCTAGTATACAATGCCACCTACCTCCCTGACTGCTACATCTGCTTCACCCCCACGGGCACCGTTCGGTTTCACTTTTCCAAGCCTCACCCTCCTCACCCAGTGCCAGCCCAGTGCTCCCAGTGGGTTTTGCTGGAGACTTACCGGAAACAGTTGAGCAACGTGACCGAGTTTGATCGCAGGTGAGTGAAGAGGGGTTGCAAGCCTTGACGGTACTTTATGATAGCGTTGTGTAGCCAACAGGGTCATTCTGGCCCAACTTCCCCATCTGCTTGCTGCTCAGAACACAGGGAATGCTGCTTGGGGCTGTGTACACAGAGCAAACAAATAGCAATGTAAGAATTTGAAAGCTGCAGCATTAAGTACACCAGAGTTAGAGACCATCAAAATTCATAGAATGGTTAGAGTTGGAAGGGACCTTGAAGATCACCGAGTTCCAACCCCACTGCCATGGGCAGGGACACCTCCCACTAGACCAGGTTGCTCAAAGCCCCATCCAGCCTGGCCTTGAACACTTCCAGGGATGGGGCATCCACGACTTCCCTGGGCAACCTGTTCCAGTGCCTCACCACCCTCAAATTGAAGTTTTCTGGGCACTCTAGTCTTTTGCACAAACATGTTGAAGACAGGGATTTAAACAGAGTTATGTCTCCTCAGCACCAAGGCTGGATGTGTTCCCAGCACTGGACAGGGCTACATGGTGAATGGCCTTGCCTCATCCCTCAAGGTACCCAAGAGCAGGATGAGAAAGTCAAGTAGCTGAGGAACAGGCTCCCCCCAACAGCAGAGAAGCCATTTGTAAAGTCATCATCTTGATTCAGAGCAGGAAGTTGGGCAAACTACTTATGTTAGTTACTGTGCTAGCAAAAAAAACCCCAAAGCAACCCAAAAGAAAACCCTACTCAGCCTCCTCCTCCAAACACTATCTTTGTTTTCTGACTGCTCTCTTCAAAACCCCACCGGCACTCACCACGCTGAAGTATGTGGCATTGATTTCCAACAGGACCCTCAAGCACCAGGAACCACAACTTGTCCTCCTACCCTCAGATGAGGGGTTAGGTCTCAGCCTAGGCACTGGCTGAGCCAATGAACCCTACACACAGGTCCTCTGCTTGGCAGCACTCAACACACTCCTACTAACAAAGCTTCTTCCCTTACAGATGAGGCCTCCTATACCTGTCCAGGAGATCACACCTCAGATGGTTCCCCAAGGCATCACTCACTCTCTTCCAGGAGCTCCCTTCCCTGCAGGCAGCTCCTACCTTAGCTGCTGGCAGGCTTTTATCAGTACCAGGTGTTAGCTGGTTGCTCAGCAGCCACTTACCATTTAATCACATATAGGTGGGTGGGAACAGCCTGGTTCCACTGGTGCTGGTAGGAAGAGAGACCCCTATCTCCCCACCCAGGTGCCATTGATCCTGGGACAAAGCCCCACCAAAAAGGCCAGGAGGAAGCATGTAGTTCTGTGTGGCGTCCGGGGGGCTGGAGAGAGCACGCTAAATAATGCATGAAGTCAGACACTGAGTGATGAGGACAAGGGAAAATATTGAGTAGTGATCCATTCAGAGGGCACCACCATCTGCAGTGCTCTGGGGGGCTGGGGTCCCATGGAAAAAAATAGTACAGGGTGTCATGTAATTAAAGATATGCCAACGCACTAGGAGAAGGCTGGATTAAGGTGACGCAAGTGACCTTAATTACGGCATTTCCTAAGTGAAACTTCATGTGTTTTACTGTAGTGGTCTTCAGTGAGTATACGTGCTCTTAAAAAGAGACCTATTAACACCTAGGGAGCTGGTGTCCACTGTTGTCTGGGCTCTGTGCCCTACAGATCTGGGAAGGAGGTCAGCTTGAGAAGCTGAGGAGCTACCAGACATCTGGGATGGTATTGCCTTCCCTCCCCAGCTACAGCAAGGGGCAGGGTAGAGGGACCTGACTCTCCAGGGCACCCAACACCCATCTTCTGCAGAGGTCTAAGCATTTCCAGAAGACAAAGAGAAGGTAGTGCCAGATCCAGGGCTCTTGACCTTTCATACCCTGAGGCTCAACTGCCCCCTGACATATGATGAAAAAATAAGATCCAGTGTGAAGTCACTTATTGACATCTTCCATAGCGAGCACTGGTTCCCCATTATCTCCCTTCCATTTCTGCTGAGAGTGGTGATGAGGGAAAGACCATGGCACCAGCTCTCTTCAACCCCACCAGGGGACCCATAAATAATGTGCAAAAGACTGGATTTTGAAACAGCTTCACATCCTTAAAGCCCAAGGGATTGCACCAGGTATTTCGGAACCATCTCAGGAGCAACCCTTCGTTGTATTTGTTTTTGGATGTATTTGTGGGAGCTAGTGTGAGCTAGAGGCCATGGCATCCTATACACCTAGGAGGGTGGAGCTGTGCGCTGTTTGGTTCCCTATGGTCCTGCTTAGGAACAGGACTTCTTTTCAGAAGCAGTATTATCACATTCCTCTTCTTTTGTATTAGTTGTCCCACAATGCCTAGTAGCCACAAGTCACACCAGGACTTCAGAACAGCAGGCACTGCACGGGGACACAGGACAGACCCCACTACAAGAGTTTCCCCAAGGGCAGAGGGGAAACTGAGGCAGAGACTAATGATGGGATTTTTCTCAGCAAATGCGTGCCAGAGCCAAGCACAAACGTGGATCTCTTGCATCCTGGGTGCTCAGACTTACTCATTCGAGTACGTTGTCCTTCATCTCTTGCCCTTCTGTGCTCATCACCACAAAATTGCGGAGGAGTCATTGCACGTAATGTGCGAACACATGAACAACAGCCACATTGAGGCGCTTCCCCTCCTATTTTCATCTAATCCCCGGGTACTAGTCTAGGGGTTAGGAATGTTTTTTGGCCGCCTGGAAATAGGTCTCTAGCCAGGAATAGGCCCCAATCTGTTCTGCTTCTCAGTTTCTGGAAACTCTCCCAGTCTCTTGAACATGTGCATCCCAGGCTACCTCTTTCCTGCGCTCCTCTTTGCCCTTGAGCACTGACAAGCTGAGAGAAAGCAGATGTCAGAGGAAGGAACGGATGGATAGTTGGGTGGTTTCAAGGAAGTATCAAGGGAATATGGCAGCAGGGAAGGGCTCTCATGCAAGACAGGGTGGATCAGCAAATGTGAAGGGAACAATGGAAATGTTTGCAAGATGCTGCACCTCTTTCACCTTACCGCATTCCTGGCCGGGAAGGTGTGAGGGAGAGAGGTATCTGCATTACATTTTTGCTGTTTGCATTTTTAGGTACATATGCATACATATACATATGTGTGCGTATGTCTGTTTTGGGAGGAAGTCTTTTTGTTTGTTTCCCTCAAAAGAAGGTTCAATCATCCCTATTCAAAACACACGTCTTATGGGCCAAGACCCCGGAGTATCCTGTTACTGGTAAGCGTCCAAAAGGATGCTATTACGAGAGTCAGGAGACTGTGGGCCAGGAGGCAGAGGGAGGAAGGGAATTTTGCTCGGAGGCTCGAAAGAAAAAAAATAATCCTCACTTATTTACTTCGCAATCAATTACGATATAGGAGAATGCCTATTTTTTTTTTCCTCAAGATGCAACATATGACGGTGGCCATTGCCACCGTCTCAAGAGCACGCCCCCAGATATTTAGGGAAACAGCGTTGACATTCCAGATATTTGTAAAATACCACTGCACGCGTGCACACACACACAGACACACACACACACACACGCCTCCCCGGATTAAGCCCGTGCCCAGCAGCGCAGCCCCGGTGGCCCCGCGGAGCTCTCTGTCACCAGGATGAAGTCATCTGTGAGGGAGCTGACACCACCGGCCGAGGCTGCAGGGACAACTCCCCTGGGCGCTAAACTGCTGCCCCGACCGCCATCCCCTTCCCCTCTGTGTCCTCCCACTGCCTTATCTCACAGAAAAATAGGGCAATGCGTGCATTACGAGGGAAAAAAGAGAAGAGAAAAAAAAAAGAATAAAAATCCACTACAGAAACAAAGCACTCCACTCCCTCTACAAGTCTCCCCTTGGGGAGAAGAAGAGGGGACGAGAGAGAGAGAGAGAGAGAAAGCGAATGAACCACATGTGACAGATGTTAGTCACACTATTTAATGCACCACTGGAAGACATTCAGATACTACGGTGAGGAGAGGGGTGTAATTACCCATCGAGAACAGGAAAAAAAAAGGAGCAGGAAAAAGAATCCCTTTAAAAACAAGGCAACCAAACCACTTCTACATTATATAGAGCAAGAAAGCAGAACAGTTAGGGGGAAAAAAACCAACAAAACAACAACAAACAAAACAGGACAAGAGACAGCAAAACCACAGCTGAAAATAAATAATCTTTAGCTGGTCGTTTTAGTTGTGCCCCTTTGGGCATATGCATTGCAATAGCATTGTTCGGTGCATATATGACATGACATGGAAGGCTATTTGTAGTCTGCACCTGATCACCCATTCCAGAAAATAAGCAAAAAATGTATTTAAGAAGCTTTGCTTCATCTACATGAGCCACTGATGGCAAAAGCCCCTGAACCCTTAGGAGATTGTCCAGTTATCAAGGATGGATCACTATTCTGCAATAAATCTTCAACAGTTATAGGGATCAATAATCAGTCTCAAAGGGAAGGGGATTATAAAAAAAAAAGCACACAATTTGATTTATGTGCTTTTAGGAGCAGGGCGGTGTGGGGATTTATTGCTGTTTCTAGCCCAAGAGCACAGGCTAAGTAAACAACCACAAGTTTGTAGAGCTAGATTTAAAGGCAGGGAGGGGAGCCCTGTGCGCGCTGGCTGCTGGAGGAGCCGAGTTCTCACAGGGCACGGGGAGAAAGCGGTGGGAGCCCGAAGAACCACCCGGCCTTATCTGAAATGGAGCTTTGCAGGGTGGCGAGAATGGGCTTGCACGGCCTTTTGATCCATGGGGAGGTTTTTTTTTTCCCCTGGGTGCTTGCAGGGCTGGTGGGAACTCAGCGCTCGGCTCCGGGCAGGTGCTCTCTGCTGGTGTGTGGGTCTGGTGGGGAGCTGCCCTTCGGCCAGGGTTGAGGATGGAGGGGTGGGGAGCAGAGAAGTCTGCTTTCCCCAGCTCTTCCCACAGGAAATCTCCTCTCCCTTCCCCGCCAAGCTGCCACACACACCCTCTCCACCCCGGCAGCTGGAGCAGCGCTTCCAAGATGCCTCTGGCTCCTGCATTCCTGGTTTCTAGGGTGATGCTCTGAGTGTCTCCTGCCGCTGCCGTGCTTCTCAGCGCCTGCCTGATAATGCCACCCGCCCCAGCCGTGGTCCAGCTGGGTCTGTGCAGTGTCATGGATTGCTGAACAGGAGCTGGGGTTGCCCAGTGTCCTGTGATAATGGCACCAAAGCCCCTATTGTAATGCGCGGGAGGGCAGAGCCGAAGTTGCTGTGGAAACCTTAACTCTGAATTTTCCTGGCCGTTGAGCATTTAAAAATCTCATCCTTAACGTGGTACGAGCATCTCTTTTATGCGCAGTTTTCCTTTCTAAACCAGCTCCCTGCGAAGAAATTAGGAGAGTGAAGAAGAAATAAAACTGCAGCCACTGGAAGAGGGTCCTTAGGGAGCAAAAAAGCAGGCAGATGCTGGGGGAATGGGTTCCGTTTGATGGGCCGGATGGAGGGACTCCAAAGGGATGTCCCTGCCCAGAATGTCTTAGTTTTATGAGTTTGGACCAGATCACATTTTACGTCTGTAGGAGGGAGGATTTTAATTCCATCCGCAGAAGCCTCCTGGAAGAAGATAATAAGAGCACAAATCAAACCCACATCTCCCATACCAGAGAGCAGAGCTCTGCACGAGGATGGGGGCCAAGACATCAAACACGAATCGTTATTAAAGATCAGTAGCTGTTATTGAGAGGAAACAATAGACTCGGGTGAAAGAAGAAGCACGGTCGAAGGCATTTCTATCTGAACCTGCTTAGCCCCTGACACTAGATAAGCATCAGGCCTGGCTGGACTGGTAAGCCCCCCTGCCTGCAAGCAAACAGCTCCTCAGCTTGCTGTGGTGGCTTCAGTTTGCCCACCCAGGAATGAAGTCAATCATCCCCCTGATATTCGCCATTTAGACTTTGTCCAATTTACTACAGGCTCTTCTTCAGGCCGCCATGGGTGGAGGGAGGAGAGCTGTTGCCCAAGGAGAGGTCTCACGTGCGATGAAGGCTATCAGCTTGTTAGATGACAGCATTGTGGCACAGACGTTCACCCTAAATGCAAGCTCTCACCCCCAACTAGATAATCTTGCAATTATGGGCTCCCTTAAACTCTGCTTGATAAAACTACCCACCGCCTCTCTGGATTTCTGAAAGAGGCTTATACCCCAGCTGAGTCTATGGAGGAATTAAATACGTTTCCGTCCATCTAAGGAGAAGCCAGGACTCGTGATTCTTATCAGTTGTTTCCCAGCAGACAAAGCTGAAGAAGTTACCAGCAAGGCAGGCAGGATATCAGATTTGTTCTACTGGCGGGGAAAAAGAATTTCTGATTCACAATCATTTTCCCCCTGCTTATATTAGATGACATATTTTGACAATACGAAGCTACCAGGGCAAGTTACAGGCTTAGTAAGCAGGTTGGTGGTGGCCCAGTACATGGCATCTCCTGGAGACTCAGCCTGCCTTTGGGTGGTGAACAGAAGGCCGGGTGTCACAACTTTTTATATTCATTGGAGATGTTTGGGAGAATATATTGTCTGCAGGAGTAATGTACTAGCCTACTTTTGGGTTAAAGATAACCCTGGGTGGCAGAGTGCAATTCTTATGATATAAACCCATCATATTTGCTTTTGTAACTCCATTACTCCTCAAGATTTTGCCCTCAAAAAAGGAAGGTGTGGCTATTGGACACCTTAGTCTTACCCTGCTTGTTGCTCAACATGTGGTGTATGACTTTTTCCCTGTCAGCTATTATCTGTACCAGCCATTAGAGGAGTAAATATAGGTGGCAGAAAAAAAATGACCTGTATGCTTCCTAGCTGTATTAATCACTGTTATGCCTGTTGTACCGCAGTGCCAAGAGGCTCCGAGGTAGATCTTGGGCACCTACTGTGGCAGGAATAGCTTTGTACCTTTCCTTGGTCATGCCCAAAGAACACGTGACTCCTTTGTCACAGCCACTGCCCTGCTGCACCCTAGAGCATGCAGTGCCATGTCCACAAAGCTTGGTGTCTGACAATAAAAGTCACACCTGTCTTGGAGGAAACCTATTTCTTCCTGTACTGAACACCCAGCTGCCAGCCGTTGCCTTTTTGCATGCTGAAAGCCAGTTGCCTTGTTTGTTCTTCTCATTCTTCGCCTTCTCTTTACCCTCTTCTGCAGCTTGCTGAGAAACTTGACCCTGGTGACGGATGCCCCTGAGCTGGCCTACCCTTCTCAGGCTTTCATTTGGAAAAGATTTGAAGAAGTCTTTCTCATTGCCTCTGGACTTATCTGCTATGCACCTGTGTTCAAGGCCTACTTCTACCAGGGGCTGCTGGAGCTCTATGAAGATAACGTACAGTATGTCGAGATAAGAGCCATCCTGCCTGCGGTATGTATTTTTTGGCTTCTCTAGTATTCTTTTAAATCCTTGTTTCTCCATAACTTTTCTCAAGCCCTATCTTGAATTTAGTTTTTGGATGTTTGCATACCTTGCCCTTCTAAGGATGCTGGAAAACCTTGATCATATTCAAAGGTCTTTCTCGAAGATTTGCATAGGTGAGAGCTTGAAAGTGAGAGATACTTTGTTCTTAATGGTTAAGGAAGACACCTACTATGGCAACAGCACAAGTCTCCATTGTGCAGTCTGACTGGCAGCTGGGTTGAAATCTTGCTGGTCGGGAAGATGCATCTCAGCTGGTCTGCACCAGAATCACCTGGTCTGCACCAGAATCACCTGGTCTGCAGCAGCTCTTCTGTAGCAATTTCCCATCTTGAATAGAGACTTATTCTGGAAGAGTTATGTTATTTTAAATCTAGAACTTACTTCAGAATGAATTCTCTGAACAGGCTAGTAAACCAATTGGCAGAGCACAGACTTCCACAATCTGCAGACAGCCTAAAATTTTGTTGATGTGAAGTATGAACTGCTCTTTTCATTGCCACTAGCACTAAAATCTGTTAGTAGTACTTTCGACCTTTTTTCCTGCACGTTGCCTGGAGCTGGTGAGATTGTCCTACAATCCCCCACTGCCCCGATGTCTTCCCAAGCATCAGCAGATACCACCATCATTCTTTGACTATAATGTTTCCCATTTTCCTGGTTGCAATTTCAACACTGCAGGCACACCTTTCCCATGGAGTTCTCCAGGCCAGGTCCAAGCGGGGCAGCGTGGAGATGGGAGATATCTTAGAGAGGGATGGGAGATGTCTTAGAGAGACAGATTCCTTGCCAAAACAAATGAACTGGGGCTGCTGCCCCTCACCACCTTCATCCACCTTCATGTCCATTGCACGGGAATGAAGCTGCTGTGCAAGGTCCATCCAGCAGCACACAAAGGACCCAAGTGGCGGTGGTGGACCATGAATGGGAAGGCAGGAACCAGCTTGCTGCTGGCACAGCAGCATCAGGTGGATGGAGCAGCCATGCTGATGTCCTGCCAGTGGCCCAACTTCCTTCAATCATTGCCCTTGCATGGAATGGCAGGCTCCAGCCAGCTGCAGATGGATGTCTGTGCTCTGGCAACCACTGCTGCTGAGGGGCAGGTCTCCACAGCCACCCCATCAGCAGACAGGCGGGTGCTGTGACAAATTTGGAGGCTGATGTGGCTTTGTGCCTGCCTCCACCCCAAGGGCTGGGGAGCGGGGCTGCCTAACCCTGCCCCGTTGTGTCTTGGGCTGGCCCCGTAGCAAAATAGGGCTCAGTGTCAGGGCTGCTCTGTCTTGATTCTGCTCTGAAGACTCTTTCTACAAAACTGTGACTACAAAAATGACTACCAAGAAGGAGTGAAAGACTTGAGAGAGAGCTGGAGGCGCATAAAACTTCCACCACCACAAAATTTGAAAGACCCTATTTCCAGAGGCAGTCTGGACTTGCTTGTTAGAAGGAAAGAAAGGAGCTGTGAAAAGAGCACAGAAAATAAAGCGCCAAGTGTGGCACTGCGACCAAGTAGAGACGTAGGGTCAGATAGCTCAGGTGAGGAATTTGAATCATTAATAGAACGAATAAGGAAACTAAGTGTACCCCGAAAAGCAGTCTTAAGCACAAGTAAAACAGTCTACCAGTGTCATAGAAAACATAAAGCCACCCTGTGAAGATGCCCAGCCCTTGAAAGGGAAGGGATTCAGGACACTGAGGTCAAACTCCCTTTCACTTCAAGAAACACCTTCCAGGATCATGTCTCCTGCAAGAATTCCTAGGGATGAATCGGTCAGTTGCTCGCAATCAGTGAAAACAGAGAATCTTCTGTGGTGAATCTTCAGAGCTCTGTCGTGCCTGAGATGAGAAGGCTGTATTGAAAAGAAATAAAAAAAAGAAAGAGGGGGGGGAAAGACCACAAAGCTTATATGTACCTTACTCTGCTGGGGATTGGTCGTGAGCCAGCTGCCCTGAACTCAGTCACCATCTGTCTTTGGGGTACCTGGAAAGAGGAAAAAACAGCAATGTCAAAATTCCTGCGCTGTGAGACAGAGCGAGCGAGCGCTGGCATCCCCCCAGGTCACACAGGTTTCTGGGCCAAGAGGATCTGCCATGATAGCAGTGCGTGGGCCTGACTGGAAAATACCCTGCCTTTACCGGCAGCCCTCAGACACGGCTGTAATGTCTTTTGAAGAGAGGCTTGGCAGGGAAAATTTGCTTCCCATCCAGCCCCTGATGCTGGCTCCGGGCGTGGGAGCCTCCAGAGCCCCCCTGGGCTTCCTCGTGTCCTGCAGCTCGGCATGCTGTGATGAACGGGCAGACAAGCTTCACAGAATCACAGAATCATCTAGGCTGGAAGAGACCCTCGGGATCATCGAGTCCAGCCATCCACCCTGCTCTAAAGTTCTCCCCTACACTATATCCCCCAACACCACATCTAAACAGTTCTTAAACACAGCCAGGGATGGTGACTCAACCACCTCCCTGGGCAGCCTGTTCCAATGCCCGACCACTCTCTCTGTGAAGAATTGTTTCCTAATGTCCAGTCTAAACCTACCCCGGCGCAACTTGAACCCATTACCCCTTGTCCTATCATCTGTAACTTGGGAGAAGAGACCGACCCCCACCTCTCTACAGCCTCTTTTCAGGTAGTTGTAGAGAGCGATAAGGTCTCCCCTCAGTCTCCTCTTCTCCAGGCTGAACAACCCCAGCTCCCTCAGCCTCTCCTCATAAGACTTACTCTCCAGACCCCTCACCAGCTTTGTTGCCCTTCTCTGGACCCGCTCCAGCACCTCAATGTCTTTCTTGTGGTGGAGGGCCCAAAACCGGACACAGTACTTGAGGTGGGGTCTCACCAGTGCCGAGTACAGGGGAATGATCACCTCTCGGGTCCTACTTACCACAACCCTGGTGCTCTGCGAGGGCTGTAAGGAGCTGGGGACATGCTGGATTGCCAGCCCCAATGGGCAGCAAAGTGCTGGAGGGGCGGACGAGAGGGAAGGGAAGCACCTCGCCATGAAAGTCGAGGTGAGCAGGGTGTGAGGGGAACAGCGAGATGCTTACGGGGGCTGAAGATCCTCTGCAAGGCTTAGATGATGGTACTGGCACCCTGCAGAAGCTCCCCTGGCAGCACACCCTGCCAGAAGCTGCCCCTGAAATAAAGCACAATGAGCGGCGGGATTTAGTGCGAAACGGCAAACATTGTGGAAAAGCCCCCCCAAACCCAGCTGTGTTTGCAAATTCGGCTGTGTAAAGTCTCACGTTCCCATGGGCTTGCAGCAGGGGAAGTTTCCACCCCCCCTCCCCGAGCATCTGCGGCCTCCTGCAAGGGGGGATGCCACAGCCTGGGGGAGCGCAGGGGCTTGGCGAGGGGCAGCAAGAAGGCAGAGTGGACCAGTTGAAGGGTGGAGGAGAAGGGTGAAAGAGAAGAGCCACCAAGCTGGTGAGGGGTCTGGAGAACAAGTCCTATGAGGAGAGGCTGAGGGAACTGGGCATGTTTAGTTTGGAGAAGAGGAGGCTGAGAGGAGCCCCCATTTCCCTCTACAACTACCTGAAAGGAGGGTGTAGAGAGGCGGGGGGTGGCCTCCTCTCCCCAAAGAATAATGACAGGACCAGAGGAAATGGTATGAAGCTGCGGCAGGGGAGATTCAGATTAGATATTAGGAAGAATTACTTAACTGAAAGAGTGGTCAGGCACTGGAACAGCCTGCCCAGGGAGGGGGTGGAGTCACCATCCCTGGAGGTATTTAAGAAACGTGTAGATGTGGCTCTTCAGGGCATGCTCTAGTGCCCAGGATTGTTGGTGTGTGGTGGGGGGTAGGGTGTGGGGTTGTGGGTGGGGGGTGTAGCTGGGGGGTGGGGGTTTTGGGTTTGTTGTTCTTGTGGTGGTTTTGTTTGTTTGTTTGTTTGTGTGTTTTAGTTTTTTTTTGTGGTTGGACTCGATGATCTCGGAGGTCCCTTCCAACCACTAAGATTCTGTGATACCCTTTGAGTTCTGTAAGAAAAGAAAGGCAAGAAGGATAAGGAAGGAACAGACAGAGTGATTTCAGCCACTGCTCAGGGTGGGCCTTTGTAGGGTTAGCATCAATTGGGGTCTACACCCCTGCTGAAACAAGGGCACAAGCCTCGCGCGGAGCCCTTGGTAGTGGGGAACTCACAAAGTAAGTTGATGAGACAGAGCGTGCCCAAAGGATTATTTTTCCCAGAACTGGGAAAGCGTGGCAAGACTAAACAACTGGCTCAAGGTCACGGAGCAAACCTCTGGCAGAGGGGAGCAGAAGCCCAGCCCAGCTGGTAGCTTACGGAGCTCAGCCCTCGCGTGCCTGGGGGCTGCCTTGGCTGACAGAGTGGCACTGCAAGGCAGAGAGCCCGTGTGAGCCTCCAGACGGGACAAAACGCCCCAGCATTCAATACAGACCTGAGTAAGAGGTTGTGGTCTCCTCTGGGCGCTCAAGGGCACTCGCTTGCCACGTCTGAACATGGAGATACTCGTTTCTTCTATCACATAGGAGGGAGGAAAACCATTCCTTGGTTCTTGCCAGCTGGTAAAGTCTTCAAGAAGAAAATGTTCTGCACAGATTTAACTGCTTTTTTTCCACCCTGTTGCCACAGCACATTGCTTCCCCCAAGGTTTGTTTTTTTTTTTGTTTTTTTTTCCAGTTCATTTCTCCCACCCTCCAATAAAACACCTCTTCCAACTCCTGCTTGCTGTGTGCTTTTTGTCCTGCAGGTGTATGAACTGGATGGCACCCGGCACAATAAATCGTGGTCTGTGGCAACCTACCGAGAGGTGACCAAGCAGTTCATGAAGGAACACCCTGACTTTCTCGGAGCTAAGATTATATTTACAGCACACAGGTAGAGGCTGAGCGGGGCTGGCCGTGCTGGGGTGGTGGTAGGGAGGAGAGGGGTCCAGGCCAGGAGAAGAGATGCTGAGGGCTGGGCTGAAGTGTCAGGGTGGGTTAGCAATGCCCACATGCGTCATCAGACCTGGGATTTTGACTCCCAAAGCATTCCCTGGCATGCGTGAAAGGCTGAGGGTTGAGAAACCATCTATATAAGTCTGCCTACGTGTGAAATGACCAGGGTGAGCTCACAGTGTGCTCTGGAGAGACAAGCAAGAATCTGTGAGCCCTGGGTGAGGGAATGAGCGAAGGGGAGGGCTGCGTGCGTGTCCAAGCCGTGTGTGCTCTCTTCCCGAGCCTGGACATCCTCCTCTTCTCCACGGGAGCTGAAGCAGTGACAGCAGTGCCCGAGTATGGGCACTGGGTATTGCAAAGGTCCTCCTGGGACCCTGCAAACGCTGCTCCCCCACCAGCCTTCGGTACGGTATGTTCGTGCTGCTGCTCACGGGCGGGCACGAGGCTGTTCTCCAAGTCAGCCAGATGCCATGAAGTCATGTGAGGTGATCCTGAGCAAATAGAACAGACCTTCACTTACTCACTCTGGCTCCGCACGATGCTGCTGCCAGTTCAGAGCTGGCTTTGCCTCTGGCCAGCTTGGGGATGGACACAGGTCTGCCTGCAAAATGCACCGTGATGTTTAAGTCCCATAGGGCTGGGAAAAAAAAAAAAAATCTACATTTAAAACTCTCTTGAAATGCAACTACTGTCCCACCCCCCAGCAAAACAGTCAAGAGGTAAAAAAAAAATAAAATTTACACATTTTCTCTCCATGCTGTTGTGTTCCCTGCTTGGTAGATGGGGAAGCCAGTGACTCTTAGGCAAGCGTGCCACAACTCAAGTGACAGCAGGGTCTCACCAGGCATTTCCTGGTCATTCAGGGGTTTACTTTCATAATATCAATTTTCTGTTGCTATTACTCCGGGGACCTGAAGCTGGTTGTCAGAGCTGCATTTTGGAAGTACCCCTGGGGGCCCCATTTCACAACTCAAACCCAAAGAAGGCAGGCCCAGTGGGAGCGTGCCTCTGAGCTGCTTTCTCTCTCTTGCTCTTTAGGATGCTGAATGTTTCCCAGATTAAAGAAGCCATCGTCACTGCCATGGAACTCAGAGACCGCTTCCCAGACACCCTGGCAGGCTTCGACCTGGTAACCATATTTCTTCTGTGGCTTCGAGTTAACCCCTAAAGGTGCAATAAAACTACACGTATAATACAGCATACGTTTCATACCAGAGCCAGACCCTCTGCTGCTGCACTGAAGTCAGCGTAAATAAATCGCAAATCCTCCACCTAAGGATTTTGCTGAGGTTAAAAATCTTCTAAAAGAATCAGCTCCCTATCCCACAGCATTGCAATCTCAGTACAGTTGGCACCTCAGTGATATACAGCTGTAAGTCCCACCACCTTCCAGAACGCCTTCAAAAATTCCTTTCCTATTTCCCCCAGGTTGGTGATGAGGATGAAGGTCATTCTTTATGGGAACTGAAGGATGCCCTGACCATCCCATATTCCCTGGGAGTTGACTTGCCATACTTTTTCCATGCTGGGGAGACTGGTGAGTATGAGGACTCAAAGCCTGTTATTGCTTACAGAGGCAAGAGGCGAAGTCTTGCAAAGCACAGAAAAGTGAGCCTGGCTATATTAAGATGATGGGATGTGTGTGTGTGTACACATGCATGTGTGTCATGAGGTTTCCCTATGCTTCTCCCAATATCTGCTGTAGCATCCCTATGTGGCACCTCCCCTACCTGCTTGCTGCTTTTGACTGCAGGTGTCACGTTGCTCAGCATTTTTGCCCCGTGTGTGACATGGAGTCATGCTGCAAGGGTTACTGCTGGTAGCTATTTCCTCCTTGGAGACACAGCAGAATTCCTCAACCATTATTTTACATGTTAAGGTGAAGGAATGTCTGAGCCAACCTCAAGTCTTAACTGAATACACTCATCAAAGTAACCGATCACTGCCCTTCGTTCCTGGGGAAATGCATTGTTATTGGCAATATATTATTCAGTCTGTAGGGGTGGGATTTATCCTAACCACATATGACACTTGCATCTAACTTGTCTGTTATGCTTATTGCATGTTGACACCTACAGAGAAGATGTCTACATCTGGACTAGTTACCCTAGCTCACTTTCCAGCCATAGATAGTAACAGGCACTTCTAAGGTGTAATCCATCTCCTCCTGGTGTACAGTCTGCTCCCCAGAAATGTTCCCTCCTTTCCCTTAACTACGAACAGAGACCAAAGTGATTACTTTAGCTGTAAGAACAATACTGTGGACATCTAAAGAGTGGGTATCTCTATGCTGAGCAATGTCCTGGGTAGATATAGACCCCTGTTTCACTGAAAATCTAAAGTGGGAACTCGGAGCACGAGCAACCCTCTCACCTTGCAACTGAGGCATTTATTAACAAAACCATCTAGTGGTTTGAGAAGATATATTTCCTCACAGCACTGCAGTGATTCTTACCTGTCTCTGCTCAGACTGGCAGGGCACCTCTGTAGACAATAACGTGCTGGATGCACTACTACTGAATACCAGCCGGATTGGCCATGGACTTGCCCTCATTAAACACCCGGTAGCCAGAAGTTTGTCTCTGAAGAAGGATATTCCTGTAGAAGTCTGTCCCATCTCCAACCAGGTATGTTGGTGAAAGCTTAGGTCTCAGGGCTGGGACACTGGGATGAGATGTACCATGGCAGCTTGGAGCAGCAGGGAACAGGGGTCAGCTAGATGTTTGGTGCACGCAAGCTGGCTTGGTTTCCTTTGTACCACATCACACTGCAGTTTGCTACACAGACACACACTCTGTCTGTATAAGGCTTGTAACACCAGTCAGCTCAGAATCATTTAAATTCCTATCCAGAGGAAACTGGGAAGGTCCTCCCTAGAGGAGATGAGGCCCAGAGCCAGGGAGGTGCCTAAAAAGATTCAAGGGAAAAAAATACTTCAAAGCCAGGAGGCTGAGAAGCTGGGATAGCAACTGAGAGCCCTTTTGGTTTTGTAGTATTCATAACCAGGGGGAACTCTTTTGCAACACATTAGCATGTGGTGTGTGTTGTCCCCTGGGTGCAGCAGAAAGGATGCTCTGGGGTAAAGATGTACTGGCGCGAGCTTTTCAGGAGAGAACCCTGATACCAGCTCCAGATGCCCTCAGCTAAGTGTCATGGCAAATACGTAACCAAAAAACTGCTCCTGAAACGGTCACAGCCAAATTTCTATAAATAAGCAGAGGTTATTCACCCCACTGGCCTTGATTTAGGTCATTAATTTAAGAAACAGATCTCCTTGTATAGTCAGTGGAGACAAGTAGGCTCCTTCTGCAGCAGTTCAAAGCAGAACACCTAACTTGCTCTGAACAACCCTCTGGAGGCTCTTCCTCCCTGATGACTACCTGGTGACACAGGCAGCTATAGCAGGTACACAGTGTGATGGGTGCTGTAATGCAAACGCAGCTGCAACAGTAACCCAAAATCATATTGTCTCCCACTCTTCCCCACCAAGGTCCTGCTGTTGGTAGCTGACTTGCGGAGCCACCCCGCAGCTGACCTCATGGCTGAAGGGCACCCCATCGTGATCAGCCCCGACGATCCCCCTATCTTTGGGGCAAAGGGTGTCTCCTATGACTTCTACGAAGCGTTCATGGCCATCGGAGGGATGAATGCCGATCTGAGGACTTTAAAACAACTTGCGCTCAACTCCATAAAGTAAGTTCCTCACCTGTCTCATCAAGCCATAGTAATACTAAGGGGACTATCAGCTTGCTCCCTGAAAACCCGCTGTATTTGGGTTTTGGCCCCAGGGTCTCCTCTGCCACATGAACTGGGCTTCCATTGATCCAAAGCCTCTGTGTGTCTCCTCCAAGGGCAGGACACAGGTGATCTTCCTCTGACTCAGTGTCCCAATTTATTCCTCCTTTTCCATCCTTTGCAAACTTTCCTCCAGCACCTGGTTCTGGGTGTGGGAGAAACATTTATGTCTTTTTATCACTTGTCTATTTCTGCCAAAATCTGACTTGCCGTGGTGTTTGCTATGGCCCATTGGGGAAACATGGGAAGACAATCTACCAGCATGTAGCTTGGGTATATGCAACCACTTTTTCTGTTTATCTGGACAGCTCTGAGTGTCCCAAAATAGTTTGGATATGGTGCCCAGGGTCTTTTTGTACATTCCTAGACTCTTGTCTGTTTGCCAAATCCCCTGCCAATCCTCATGCCAGTCCCAAGTCCCCGCAAATACAACAAATACTCTGATTTCCTACCAATTTGGACCAAGCCCAGGGGACATCTGAAAGCAACAGCAGCGCTGTCTCTTCTGTACTTGCCACTGGGTGCAACCAGTTTATGTGCAAACAGCTGAGCTGTTTGTCCTCATGGTGCAGGACTCAGTGGCTGTTGATATGGCCATGATGCTTCTCATCCCAGCATAAGCCCAGCCGGCAGGAGCTCAAGCCTCTTTACACTGTTAGTCTGTGCAGTGTAGGCCTGTCCTGCAAGGGTTAATCTGTTACTGCTTCCTCCCTCTTCATTTTGGCTACTGATCTTGAAATAGCTGCTGTCCTTGTCTCTTGTCTGATACTGACTTCTCTACTCCTCACAGATACAGTGCCATGCTACCGGATGAGAAATCTAAGGCCAAAGAGCTCTGGCAGAAAAAATGGGACCAATTTGTGGCTGACCTCTCCGATAGCTTTTTGAGGGAGCTTTAGAAGGGAGGAGACACATCTCAGAAGGCATTTGGCAAGCCAGAGCGAGCCAGGCTTATTGCTAAGAGGGAGACTGCTTCTTCCATGGGACCTGAGCAGATGAATGGACCTCAAAGTCTCACCTGGCAGCGGGCGATTCTGGTAAGCTCAGCTTTATGGGTTTAATGCTAAGAATGAGCTGCACTATCCTGTGAAAGTCATGGACTGGAGGTGAAGTGGAGCAGTGAGCTTTTATAGCAGCCACAAAAAGAGTAGCCCTGCTCAAAATAGTCAAAACAATTAAAAACCGCCCATGACCAAATCCTGACATCCTTATTCAGGAAATACACGCTTTCTAATTAGAGTTAGCAGGACATGGCCAACACGAGGAGCTCTGAAATTCGCCTTATCATTACAAAATGCAGACCTTGTCCGGAAACAGTTAAGACAAACATCCAACCATTTGGGCCACTGACCTTCAGGAAAGCAAGGACTGAAAATGACTCTTGTTATGTTTAACCCTGGGCCTGCTGCCAAAATAGCACTGCTCGGTCGAAGAACCAGTCATAGGTCTGATGTCTGCTATTTCAGGACCTACCATGGCTGGAAAAGAGCTGATGGAACTTGCTCCCAGAACATTTAAGCCTGGTTGCACGGTGATCATAAAGCCAAAAAGCGGTGCCTCATTTGCTGAGTTCTTTTCTTGCAAGATCTTTTCTTGTCCTCTGGTCACAAGGAAGCTAAAACACTTTTCAGCTGAGAAAAAAACACCCCCACCCAGCTTAATTAAAACTGTCCCTCTGCACTGGGCCATGTGAACACAAGCCTCTGCGTTTATAGGAAGTGCCTTTTGATTTCAGGGGGTTCCTCCACCAGCCTTTGTCACCTAATCAGAGTGCAAATGTGGCCTTATTCAGCCTGTCAGACAGATTTTCACCTTGGTGGAGAACTACTCTCACACTATGGATATCCACTTCGTTCACTTGGACCTTTGTGGGAGGACTTTCCAGTTCTTTGGCAAAAAGGTATTGCCCCAACTACCTAATAAATAGCATCTGAACAAGCAGATTCCCTTGCTTAACAACATCAAAAATATCAGGAGAACTAGTTGCAAGGAGATTAAAAAAAAAAAAGAAAAAAGAAATCTTAATCAGGATGGTAAAGAAATTCAGCAAAATCCATCGGCATACATACCCCAAGCACACAGCCAGGATCAACCAGTGTCTCCCCCTGACTTCAATTATGCTGGTTTGCATTAGCCAAGGGAGAATTTCCAAAAGTTCCTGCTGAAAGGCGTCTCCTTCCTCAGAGCCTCAGACTTGTGAGGGCTATTCTTGATCTGACCAGCTCAGGTAAATTGCCTCTCTTTATGTTTTCTGCTAATTGTCCCAAGCTGGCCATAGTGTTTATTTCCCCTGACCTCGGTTAAAACACCTTAGTGGGAGGCAAATATACTTGCTAGAAAAGCAGATCAAGCTGCTCAGCCCATGTTAAATTGCCCACATTTCCCAGGCTGCAAGTTCATCTCCAGGGAAAAAAACCACCACCAAAACAACAAACAAAACCCAACCCACACTAAAAACCCCACAATAAAAAACAAATGAAACCACAACAAACCAAAGGTGTCTGCATTGCGAAAGCCAGCAACGCAAAACCACAAAAAAAAGGGACAAACCAGTCACACATTTGACTAACTGAGGGGGTTGAGAGCCCTTTTCAGCCAGAGCTGCCCCTGTTCCAGGTCTCTCTGCCCACACACCCCAGACCTTCCTCTGAATCATCATCACCATCAGCTGCTCTTTGCCTAATGGCCTTTCCTGGGTCTTGATGCACAGCTGGTCCTGGGACGAGCTTTATCATGGAGGAGGAGCCAGAGTAGAGTCACCTTTTCTCCTCCTCCCTGGATGTTGCATACAGACCTCAGTCTAAAGTCCCCAAGATAGGCTTGGACCACGGTCAGATTATAAATGCTGACTTGGGAAATGCCTAATTTGTACTGCTGCTGAGGAAAAACTGCTGCAAACAGGTGAAATGCGTGCTAACCAGTGACACAAAGCCCTGTCCCCCCAAGTCCTCTGATCTTTCAGCTTTGCTATACCTGGATGGAGGAAGATCTTTTATTTGCCATGACTGAAATGAGCCTCTTTGCTGCCAAGGTGAAGCTAATCATTACAGAGGCAGTGTAGGAGGAGCTGAGTTCCTCAACATAGTTTGAACCACGTCCCTGCCTTTTCTGCCACAGTAGAAAGGTTTCAGCTCTTCCTGCACGTGGTCTCCTGAGGAACTGAACCACTGATGGACCTGTAGTACTCCCTCCTCATTACCCACATTAGCAGCAGGGCTAGATCTTCTGTTTGCCAAACGCTTGCTGGGACCAGTTTACCTGTTGTGTCCAGTTTGTTCTTGCCTGCCTAGGAAAAGCCTGTTGAGCACTTGGCCGTTTCCCTACTTTGCATCAGAAACACCGACGTGGTGTGGCCTGGGGTCTGGAGCCATCAGCCGGTGATGCTGTTTGGGATTACAGCACCGAAATCACTGGGGGGTTAAAATCGCACAGGCCTAGGTGATCTTCAGAGGAAGCCCTCAGAAAGGTGAACCTTGACCTGACAGGGCTATGTTTGCATTTGGGACTAGCCTAGTGACTCCACTTCTGCTGAAGGTATCCATCTTAGGGTTGGTCAGGGAGTAGAAACCTTCTCGTCCTGATCACATATGTTTAAATGTGACCCTGAACTTCATGGAGACGCCTGACTCCTTTGGCACAGCATTCCCTGGATCCCTGCTTGAACATGGCATTGACCCATGTGGTGACTGCAGCTTCTCAAGAGTCCTCTGGCAGTAGATGGGCTTTAACCATTTTTAGGGCCTTAGAGTCCGAGGAGAGGAGGGCCAGCCTTCTTTACTGCTGGGCATCAACTCTTCCTTAGAGCTTGCCTTATTTTGGAGAAAGGTGCAAATTGACAAGGCCAGACCGCATCCCCACCTCCCTAACCCTAGGTGTGCAGAGGAGGAGGGATTTAGGCTGAATCACAGCCACTAAAAACCATCAATCCCTTCAGATATCCCCAAAGCTTCAGGTAAAGTTGGCTCTGGGGCTTTCCTGAGACTCAGCTGTAATGTTACGAGGATTTTGCTGCCAGTCCATTTCCTTCTCCTCAGTACCTTGCCTCCCTGCTCACATTTGTTAGCAAACACACTGCATCTAACACTTCTTTGCCTGCCTCTTTCAGAACATAGTATATATTTAGATCTTTAAACCTGTTTTAATTGTGGGGTGTAGTGACAGGACAAGGGGTAATGGTTTTAAATTGAAAGAGGTGAGATTTAGATTAGATATTAGGAAGAAATTTTTTTCCTGTGAGGGTGGTGAGACACTGGAACAGGTTGCCCAGAAAAGTTGTGGATGCCCCATCCCTGGAGGTGCTCAAGACCAGGCTGGATGGGGCTTTGAGTAACCTGGTCTGGTGGGAGGTGTCCCTGCCCATGGCAGGGGGGTTGGAACTCAATCATCTCTAAGGTCCCTTCCAAATCTAACCATTCTATGACTCTGTGATTCTATACCTGTGTTTCATGTGAGGTTTTAATCTGGAACATGCAGTGGAAGGGGAGATATTTCACATCATCCTGCCTGGAGTACAGTTATGGGAGGAGGTCCAAAATGTCTTCACAACATGGTGCAAAGGGAAATTTGATCCAGAGGGCTAATGTGCTGTGGAGTCAAGCTGGCAGAGACGTGACACTGGTCCCCCAGCTCCCCCCCCTTCCCCAAAACGCATGGTAGCTTCATCCAGCTTTGGGCTGCGTTTTCCTATACAGTCTGCCCAACAGATACGATTTGCTTGTGCTACCTACCAGCTCAGAACCTGATGGCCTGAGATGAGAGAGGTCTTTCGACAAGCAGGGCTGGAGGCAGCCACAAGGATGGAGGGAGGCTGAGCAGGGCAGACCTAAAGGGGCGGAAAGTGCCCTCCTTCAGTCTCCGTATGGACTCGGGAGCAAGGAAGGAGAGTGGAAAGTCCATGAAAGCTTCTGTGCTGCTTACTTCAAGCAGCCATAAGAATACGGCAAGCCTCATGCCTGTTATCCCCCTCTCCCTGTGGCCTCTTCAGGTTTGATTTATTTACACAGGAGCTGGATGGAGCTTTGTTTGTGGCACACCATGTCACAGGTCTGGCGGTGTTTTGTCACAGAGCAGCTTCGACTACCTTTGGGGCACTTTAGCAAATGAAATGTTTGCCTCCTGGTCACTCACCGGCAGGAAACGGCTGATCCAGCGCTGGTCGTTGCTGCCAAAAATCACGCCAATAAAAACAGAGGAATAAAGTAGCTGGTTGAAAATAGAGATAGGCCCAAGTGAGCAGCTGGATCTATATGTCATGCGAGCCTCCATCACTGCAGTGGGACTACACAGATGCCAGATGCTAAGCAAAGCCCTCTGGCCATAAAACACAAGGCTATAGAGGTGTTTTCCACCAGCTCCTGATGCTCAGCCCCCTTCAGCTTTTTCTCCTGTAAGTCTCTGAATTAGTCTCTTCTCAGGTAGCAGAAGGACATTTCTTGGGCCAGAAACTTGTAGCTCTAATTGGCTCAGTACTTAATTCCTTTCTTTTCCAGGCTTGCAGCAGTTGCAATCATGGCAGGTCTATCAAGTCCGCTGAGGGACACGCAGATGAATGGTTTGGCTCTCAGTTCTTCTGGCTTGTCATTTTTATCAGGCTGTGTCCTCCCCCTTGGTCATTACAGGATAAGAAAGGCATTTTACTGTATTTTCTCAACCTTTAGCTTGTCCATCATTCCACGAGCAGGCTGCGGCAGAGAAAGAGAAGAGATAAACCGGGGCTGGGGGGAAGAGTTGATTCAGGCCATTAGAGCTTCTGTGGTAAGAGACGAGACCAAAGGTATGGCTGCATTCGAGGGGGCTGTTAGAAGGTCAGGAGAGGGGGGGGGAGTGATGACAGGGCTTGGAGTCCAGGGAAAACAGAGCTGCAGAGTTTACATAGTAACCCACGGGAGAAGGCTGTGGGCAACCGCCTGTTTTGCTTGTCTTTAAAAGCAGCTCTGTAAGGGGGTGGGGGAAACATCAAAGTGCAGTGTAGACAGGGGAAGAAGAGGGAGTCTCCTGTGGGCTGGTGTGAGAAGGGCAGACAGAGCATCTCAGGGGATACAGCTGTTGCCAGATGTGCCTGCAGAAGAAATTGTAAGGTCCATCCATGTATAACGTGCCGAACGGGAAGCTCCTAGTAGAGTGAGAGAGAAAGCCTCAACTCTTGAAGAGAAAATGGGACTACTGGGCGTTTAGCACAGGGATAAGCAGGCTAAAATCTGCCTGCTGGGAGGAGCTGGGAGGATGGGGGTTCATAAGCCGAAGCGGGCACCACGGGGTGCTGTGCTTGGCAGCCATGGGGCTGTCGGTCCCTGCTGCGTGTGCCAGGCTCAGCCTGTGCCCGGCCGCTGGCAAACTCCCTCCCTGTTGGTTTAAAAATAAGCACTTCAGCCTGTTGGACGGCCTTCCCTGTAAAAATAAATACAGCAGCTCTGCCAGCCTGCTGGGAACGCTCGCTGGGGCGTATAAGCTCTTCAGGGGCACGTCTTCAACAGTGGGTGCCCTGGCTATAAAAATGGCTCTCTCCACCAAACTGGTCTCCACTGCAGGAGTAACCTCATGTGTCAGCAGCACGGTGGGCACAAACCCCCCTGCTGTCCCCAGGCCCTACCTCCAACATCCCCCCCCATGCTGTGGGAGCCCAAACCACACCAACGCTTTCTGCTATGGCTGATCCACAGCAGGAAAACACTACAAAGCACACAAGCTCTGGCCTGGAGA